AGCACATGAGATATTTTCTAACCTGAGTCTAGACTACCAAAAGTTGTAAACAAACAAACTGTTAGAAAACAAAGAAGACTGCAAATAGGATTAGCCTCACAAGCACCACATTACTCCAGAATGCAATGAGCCTTGAGGCCATTTCGGGTCATTTAGCTTGTAAAAGAGATACCATGATGAAACTTTTTAACACTTTGTTAGTTGCATTTCTTGTACTTGTGTAATATTTTCTTGTATTGCTGTTGCAAGGACATCTAAATAGCAGCTTCTTCTACCAAAAAAAAAACTGAAGAATGAAAGTTAATCTTCACTTTTATAACCCTCAAATATGTTGTCAGAGTTATGACTATGTATTGGTTAAAATCTATGTGCAGGGCTAATGTCCCCAGAGTTGATTTAACACTTTGTAGATGCTAACTGTGGATATTTGCAAATGAAATGAAAACATAGAAGATTAATGAGAACAAATCTGACCATATAACTAAGTTATAATATGGGTAGCTGCATTATTCAGTTTATGTCTACTTGTTTTGCCACTGACACATCTGAATCCCCTGGCTGTGTGATCATAAATTGTGGTTCTATACTACTTGTTTGACAAAGATTCTGTTAAATTTTAGAATTAGACCCTTTACCATAAGTTTATTGATGGCAGATTTTTATGCGAATGGGTGAGCTCTATAAATATACTCATCGAAATTAATTCAATATATAAAAAAAAAAAAATTATTTTGTTAAAAAATATTTGAACTGTTGTCAAATACAATATTTGTCTTGTTGTAAATTAGTTGTTTCAAGTTTGTTTTTATTGTATTTTCAACTTAGAAAAAGTACGCTAATGCTTATTTGTTTTTCGCTCTTAAGTGTTATAAGTACATTTTAAGATGTTATCTAGTATAATTCATGTTACTAAAGGTATACAAAAATGTTTTTATTTTAAAACATTTTTACAGATAGCAAGACACATACATTTTCAGTTAATGCAATGATTGAGTAGAGTGGATCAAGAATCATTAAAAGAAAGAAAATAATGAAAATTTTAATCATTCATTTAATTCAATTAAGTTAAAAATACTTTATTAATCTCAATGCGAAATAAAATGCTGTATGTTCAAGTGTCAGTTTGCAGTGTTCTATCGGGTTAAATCACTCAGTTGCACATTTAGTTTTCTTATGTTTAGGAGATTGCAATTCGTTATAGAAACCATTATAGGTTTTCTAAACAAAGCAGCCGCTAACGGTTAAAACTGTCAATATAAACAACAACAGTCGGGTCCATGTGAGCACCAGCCTACTATGGCAAGTTGTAAAAAGATATAATGATTTATTTTCAATTCAGTTCAAAAGTATAATTTCTTTTCAATTCTGTACAAAAGTAGCTTACGAATCCTATAGACAAATGAAATGCTATCAAATTCCTCTGTATTCCCTCTCAAATTTTAAGTATCAATGCCCTTCTTATTTGTCTAAAAGTCAACCACTTTAATCTGTTTAATTATAAATTACATAAGGATTTAGATATGACCTTATGTGATTGAAGAACAGGGAAAAACATGGATAATTTAATTTTTTTTATCAGGAAAACATATGCAGGTAAGTAAAGGTTCACTTAGCCAACCAAATTATTTTAGGACATTATTAATGGTTTTCATCTTTTGAGCTTACCCAAATAAGCTCAAAAGATTATAAATAATCTGAGACCACTGAGCAATCAAATACAAGGGTTTATTTGACGATGGCATAGAATTCATCATTACACCATGACCTGAGTACAGAACCCACTGAATGGTTTATAAATGTATTAAAAAATATATAAGAATATTCAATAACACAGTGATAGACCTTAAAACAATCATAGCATGACATGAAAAAAGAAATAAATTATGCAAGGAAAGATGTCACAAATATTTGATATGTTGATGGAAAGACAAATGGTATTGATCAAATTAGGCAAAATGGTTACAAAACAAAAGTCAACAAAAAAATAAAGAAAATATACTTCCGCTGTTTATACTAAAAGACGTTTGTAAAAACAAACACAGCATAAAAACAAGGCAAGAAATATTAAATGGTGGTGATCATATTTATTAGCCTTGTTGAGCCTATCAACTATTATATTCAAACACCGATTGCCATACTCCTATGTTCTCGGCGGAGAAAGAATCCGGAAGCCATATTGTGTGGTGCTGCCCTGAGCGTGTCGCCACGGAAACCGGTTGCTAGGCAGCAAAACAAAAAAGACAAATTTATACGCGCTTGCGTCAGACGGTAACGGCGTATCCATAGTGACGGAACGCCACACACACACATTCATACATATTGTTCCTGTCCCTTGTTTTAGCGCAGTTGTGAGTTTTAATGTTGCAGTAGTATTTTTAAAAACTAACATTTGTAGATAAACCTATGTCGCATGTTGGCTTGTAGACTATAATTATATAGCCGAAAGTAGCAGTTTCCTTTGTATTTGCAGTGACTGAGTCCTCATCTGGTCAAAAGCTGTCTTTTTGTCGTGTCGCTCTCTGTGAGTGTGGGCTGCTCTTCTACGTACGTTATTACCCATTCACTTTAATAACTCCCCATCATGAACAACTTACATTGACGGAGTTAGTCATCCCGGTTCAGCGGCACACGGCTCCGTTAACGGCGGTCCGGGACATAACGTCCTCCGTGAATCCTCGTCTCTGACGTGGTTGCAGCTCTGAGTAATAACTTGTTATCCCCAACTCTTCCCTTTTTGCTCACGCCTGTTCACACATCAGCTGCAGCATGCAGCCCTTTCACAGTAGCATGCCCGCCCGCCCTGACACATTGTCTGACATCACGACCAGAAGGATGTAGGACTTGTAGTAGGTTAGATTTTTTTTTTTTTTT